CGCATAACTCACTGAGCTGTCTTGCCAGTTTCGACACTGGCTCGACTGAGCGTAATTCAAAAACGAAAAGCTCATGTTCATTCCGTTCTTCTGGAGCTCGTTGATAGCCTGAAGAGAGAAAAAAGGGTGTTTAAAGAAAAAAAAGCATCACTGAAATAGTCTAGTATCATACCTAGACCTCAATCCTCTCTTCCAAATGGTCTTTGGGCATTCTTTTAGCACCTCTTATATTAATGAGTATTTTGTGGACCTAACCCATTTCTGCCCTCTGATTAACCATTGATGCTGCCCCTCTGCACTATGCACATCCGTGCAGCTCTATAAAACATTGTTAAATAACCTTACTAAATACATTATTTGAGAATCATGCTTTTGATTCTGTTGAGAATTTATGCAAAAACATATGCATAACGGAAAATAACTACAAACACTTTTTAGATAGCATTTCTCCCTATATTTCCAAAAAAAGCACCAAGATGTAGGTAAAATATGACAATTTATTGTCATACAAATTGGGCTAAAGAGAAATAACAAAATTCAGCTCAGATTCATTGCAAGAATAATTATTTTTAGACTGTAAGTATTGGAGATTTTTAAGAGTTAAGTCATAAAACTTGACTACATGCGTCCCCAACCATTGACATTGCTCATACTGTTTTTACAGAGGAATCTTTCTTAAAAGTGGGATCTATGTTCTCCACAGAGTACATTTACAATGAATTAAGCCTTCCCTTTAAAAGGAAGGCCTAGTATTTTGTATTTTGAATTATATTAAAAGTACAGTGTAAGATTCATTTAAGCAATATGACAAATCTGTACCACTCCAACAGTGCTATGAAGCAGCTGTGACCCAGTTTAGACCACTAAGTTAAGCTAGGTTTACATTTGTCCTGCATCACCAAAGCAGAATACAGTAATTAGAATGTACCAGTTAATCTGAATTCTAATTGCCATTAATTTATGAGTTAATGGTGCACTGCACTAATACTTACAGAGGCAATCTCTCATCATATTTGCAAAACTCAAAAATGCTGTCAGGCATCACAAGGCATTCACGATAGCTAGCTAATAGCAATACAGAAAAAAATACATATGTATATAAAGTATGTTGGTAAGTACTGATTCAAAAGAAGCAAATATGTACTTCCCCATGGAGATGGATTTTTTGTTTCTTTGAAGTGCCAAAAGAAAGTGAATGACTTTCATTGAAATTCAAAGGAACGTGGTACCTCATCTCCCTCAGGCAACTGAAAACCTCAGCCCTTGTAAGAACTTATATTTATCTACGCGCAAAACAAGGAAATTACAGACCAAATTGAGGACACTTGGAAAAATAAACTGATTCCAGACTTGTCATTTTAGAGTTAAGGAATACTCCAGCAGTATTACTTTTTTTTTTTTAAAAAAAAAGAAGTGTGAACAATTTTGCTTAAAAAAAAATTCAAATTAAAAAAGCTTACATTTAATAATACGCCAATAGGATGTCTTCCACATATTGTATTATGGTATTTCTTCAAGTAATTGCTAAAAGATACAGGATCTAGCTGCTCTATAATGCTCATACCCTAAAGGAAAAAAGAAACAAAAACCAAAAAAACATTAATAGCAAAGATTACTTCACACATTCAAAAGCAGGAGTTTTTACACTACCTAGTGTAACAACATAGGATATTTCAAGGAGGAAAAACCCTCAACTTTGAATCAAGGGTACAAATGCAATCTCAGCACATGAGCTCTGGCTTGTAATCATTTTGTTGACAATCCCTGACAAGCCAGCAGCACAGAAGCTCTTCCAAAGCTGTCAATGATTTAAGATCTGGGAAGCTATCATTGTAGTTTTAGAGAGAGAAAAAAAAAAGAGAGAGAGAGAGAAAAATCACATTAAAAAAAGCTCCTCACACAGACTAGCTGATCTACACCTCCAAGGACATCTACTTTTGCAGAATTTTGTATAGCAATAACCAGATAGATTTACTAAAAGGGCAAAGCAGAAAGAAGTTTTGGCTTCATCTCCTCTCCCTGGTAACAGCTCTCAGGGCAGTGCATTTGCCTGGGACTTCTGATGTCCAATTCCAAACTGCATCAAACCACCGACAGAGGCTCACACAATTTAAGAATGCAGCAAAGTGTAACAGTACCCAGGCAAAGGAGGCACGCAAGGCAACTGATCTGGGCACAGGCTGGCCATCTGCTCAGTGCATTAAAAGCAGACCCAAAAAACTCTCAGAAGCACTGGAAGGTCAGTGCACAAGTCAATTTTTCCCCAAAATAAATTTAAGAGCCAGAAGACACTTCCACGTTACATGTTGCAGTCGTGTGCATGATGCACCTATACATCATTTTTTTTTCCCACCATTATTGAGATCCACAAGCCCACGTAGTTATATTATGAAAGCCAAAACATCTAAGAAAAAGAAAGAAAGAAAGAAAGAAAGAAAGAAAGAAAGAAAGAAAGAAAGAAAGAAAGAAAGAAAGAAAGAAAGAGCCTTTCACAGACATTTGCATTCATAAAGGCAAAAAATTCTACAGCTCCAAAATCCACCTCCTCTTCCCTATCGCAATATAGTAAAGCAAATGCAACAGAAAAGTAGTTAAAACAATTTAAGTTATTGTCTGCATCTCACCATTGTTTTGCTATTTTGGCTGAACTCGATTCCATCCTCTCCTGTTTTTCCTCCCCCTGAAAATTCTCGTCACTAATTCAGTAAGACACACAGTTGTTTTACTTTTATATGTAGACGGTGAACCTGGAGAGTTTTCCCAACAGTCCAGAAAAAAAAACACGCACTTTGCATAGGGATAGATGGAGGTTGATATTAAAAAGGAGGTCAAAGGAAGAACTTCTCCCAAGATGCCTGTGTTTGTGTGCTGGCCCTCACCCCTTCCTTCCCTTGCTACTTTTGGGGAAGCATGAGTGATAAAAAAAAGATAGTGATGCAGGAAAAAGCTGGTCTGTCTGAAGTCTCCACCTCCACAGTGAAGCCGCTTGATTACTCTGCAAGGATGTTGGCTGATCTGGCAGATATGCTAAGTGCTCACTGTGGATCTCAACTTAGAACACAGAAGATGGAGATGCCCAAGAGAGTCATAGAATTAGGAAACAACCGCAACCGCCACTTTTATGCGCTCTTAATTAAAAACAGACATAAAATCAATTCATTTAAATGTAATGTTTATTGAAAAAAATGAAAGCAAACTATGCTGACCAACTGCTGACAAAAGCTCAGTTCTTCCAGGGTCACCGAGAAAATGTTTGGCTCTCTGGCCAGCAATTATTGCTGTTGCTCACTGCTGATCTACAGAACTTAAATGACTGCCCAAAATTAAAGGTAGCTATTCTGCAGCTAGTAGGGACTACACAGAAATCATTGTATTTGTAAAAGTTATGAAAAGTTTAAGCAGCAAGTCCCTGAATCATCCATTCCCTTGTGAACTGCACGTCAATACCCAACTAAAGAAAGCAGAACCAAACTTAGCTACATACTCAAGTAAAACCAAGCATGCAGAAGGCACTTGCCAGACACTGAACAGCTCAGAAACCTTTTTTATACATTAACAGACCCTTCCATGACTTATTTTAAAAATAAAAGTAACTGCTCAACTGAGAGGCTTATTTCATAGCCAAAACTCACTGGAACATACTGGGCACTCGAGCATTTGTCTTGAATGAAAAGACAGTGATTTAACAGAATGCCTAGTAAGCTTATTTCAATACACAACTCGATACCATGAAACATTTAGAGCTCTGCATTCATCCCAGCAAACACTAACAGAGCCTTCACACATAATGGATTTGAGAAAATCTATAGGAAATGAGTATTAGCAAATATCCTGCAAATTTTACTGCAGGATAAAATAAAATTGAATTACTTTTAATTTTAAATTTGTTATGGCAGAGAAGGAAGCCTTGGTTCTCAGTCAGCATGGCATTAAGGAACAAAAGAAATATTTTTGTCAGGTTGCGTTTTGTTTGCTCAAAAAAGTATGAAGCCACTCAGAAGTTTTCAGCTTCAAAACTCAACTGAGATTGAGTGATTTAGAACAGAGGTAAAATACATGACAAAAAAAAAAAAAACACATGATAAAGTGCAAACTATCACAGATTTCTGCAATTTATCACATGGATATCATGACACCAGAAACAATTACTGTGTCTCAGTTAAGCAGACATTATTAACAGCACCTACGATGACCTGGTAGAGAGCACAAGAGACAAAGTGTTTGCATTCTTAAATATAGTCTCAAAGAACAAAATACCAATGAGCTTACAAAAAAAAAAAAAAAAAAAAAAAAATAATGCTTATTTTATACTATAGATCAATACTTTTTTGGCTAATTAATGTTTGCAATCAGCTATCTCAGCAGCTTCTTTACTCCTAAAGAAAAAATGCCCAACAGTACCATACTCATGAAAGGAGAAACACAGACTTGCTCTTGACATTGCTCTGTCCAACTCTCTTGGCATGAGTCACCCAGACTAGACAATTAAACAAGCAACAACAAAAAAAAGTATAGTACATAAGCCTGGAGTTACAGTCCACGCTACCCTCAAGCTAAGTGGTCTTCCCAGGCTGGAGAATGGTCGAAGGTGCTGGCGCACCAGAGTGGCACTGCAGAAGCCACCAGATTTCAGGTGCATTTCAAGGATCATCTCAAAAGCCAGGCAGGCTGGGCACTGCTTCTGCACCAAGACTGGCAGCTGGTTCTGCACAGTTCTCCCTGGCACCTACATTGCCTTTTTTTCCTTCCTCCCTCCCTCTCCTTCCCCTGTCAGTATTCAGGGTAACAGAATCCTTCAAGTGACTCAGGGAAAAGGAGAAACATTTCCCAAGTATAAGTGAAATGATCAATCTGGCAGTGAAGATTCAAGCAGGCAGTCTACATTTTATAGCTAACCATCACCAAAAAAATAATTGTTCTTCCAATTGTTCTTCAATAATTGTTCTACAATTACGTATTACAGAACCCTGCATTCTTAATTTAAAATATGCTAAGTATTGGGGTTATGATATATAAATTGTCACACATTGGCCACTTGGTAATAACCCTTCATTCCAAGATCCTTCCCCAGTATCCCTAATTATCATGAGGTTGCTACTCCTTTCAGCAAGCAGCTACAAGGTAGACAGTGGTGTCCCCCACCTAACAACAACCTCACATTAAGAGTCATCATGGAGAAACTCACGTGCTGCCCAGTGACATTCACTGCTCTGCCTTTTTTATGTTGGAATCCGAGAGCTCTAATAGCAAATAAAATTTATCATGGTGGTTAACACTGGTATTAAGTCTACAATGCATGTCATGTTTTGCCCCCTGAGGGGAAGAGATCTAGACTGTCCTCCTACAAGGGCATGTCTAAAGAGAAATAATTCTGCGAATCCAGATTATTTTTACTGCTTGCAAAGCGCACAGCCAGCTGCTTTGCTAGTTAGGACAAATAAAACTACTACATCATCAAGTGTAGAGGTTATAATTAATAGCAGAAGTTACCCTCTCTGTTTTAACAGTTTTGTGTCTACCTTAAGGCACACTCTCTGTGGAGAGGCCTGCGGGCTCTAACAATACAAGCTTCCTTCTATTAAAAACAACATTAAATAAGTCAATAGTTACCTAAGGAAAAAATAGGCAGCCAAGCAGGGCATGTAAAAATGGAGCAAACTCATCCCAAAAGCTAATGCTATATGACAGAGGCCCTTGTGGCATCATGTCCAACGTCAGAAATGCACAATCCGCAGGGCTGCCGAGAAGAAGTTTCCAAATCCACCAAAGCACCGTGTTGTTTCAACACGGAATCGTGTGCTCAGGGATGCATGATATTGGGTAACAGGCAAAAGGAGATCATGACTGCAGCACAGCATATTTCATTTGCCAACTGAGACTGAAAAAGTACCTTCACAGTTATTAAACAGCATACAGTAGTAATTAATTTCATCAATTTAAAAAACTGATTTAAAAAACACTATTTCCTTCTGATTAAATAGCTACTAAAGGACTGGTGCAAAGCAAAGTATTCATGGAAAGTAATTAACTGCCCAAGCCTGGGCTTCCTACCAGCTTCGACCACAGAGATTAACATGAGGAAACTAATGTTTGTTAACACATCTTAATCTGCTCTCCTGCAAAAACTCAGAACCACAAATTCCTGGAAGTCTCTCTAGGAAAACACTGTCTTCAGAGAAACCTCTCAACTAACAATGGAAATTAATAAAAATTGTGTCACTAGAATGAAGACGTATGTACTTCCAGGTTAGAGAGCAGTTTCAGCAGTGAAAAGCTATGTTAACATGGATATGCAAAGCAGAGTAAGCTCTAGAAGTCTTGGCAACTGAGTAATACCATCTGTTTTAAAAACAGATTTCACAAAGTTACAAAAATGTTCCAGTGAAGTTTTTAACCAAGTTTTAAGATTATGTATTTCTAAGAGAATTATTTCTATTCTGTGCATTAAATATAGTCTTGAGGGCTAGCACAATTTTGCTTTTAAAAGGAAATCCTTGGCTCTTGCAATTGAAAAGAAAATGCAGTTTAATTGGCATTGTAAACTTTGAGTATTTGGTTGTATTTGTTTCAGTAACTAGCCAAACCTGGCAGGAAATACAGGCTACTGCTTTTCCCCATCACTTGCCTCAGAGTCAGGGAAGACCAGTCCCAAGGAAAGATTGACTCTTGTTTTCCTATCCAGGACAACCCCCTAGAGCCTTTCTTCCTCAAAATGGATGGTGCTGTAGCTATTAACAATCCCAACACTGTTTCAATGTGCAAGTATGGTAACTATTAAATATGAACTTCCACAATAATTTAGAGTTCTTACTGCTTCTTGTAAATATAAGAAGATACTTGGACAGAAATTAAGATACACTAGGGAATTTTAGGTAGGCAAACATAGATTTATTTTCATGAGTTATGCTTACCACATTATACCCACAACATATTGTGCACATTTAATAAAATGTAGGCTATTAGTTTAAAAACAAGTAAGTAATTAAAGCCAACTAAAATATTATTTGTGGTAAACAGAGGAAAAGTATACATTCAACAAAATCTAATCTATAATACTGTGTTAGAGAAATTTCTAAAGTGTTCAAAGTAATGTAATGTACAGGAGAAATTTGTTAGTTAGTTCCACCAAATCTGAAAACTTACCATTTTATCTAGATGCTCAATGGATCTATAAATTTCTCCTTGGGATTCATCATAGTAACTGTAACGGAACCTCTGACCTTGAAACAAAAATCATGTATAAAATAAAAAAGGGAAAAATTGTAGCTAAAACACTCCCTAGTACTTACTAATTGAAATGATAATATTTGTAAAGTAGTAATCTTCATTTACTACACTTTTTAGCTCCAGTGAGGAAATTTGAGGGCAATCACCAAAATACCAGCCCAAAAGTGAAAGAAAAACACTTTGCAGGCAGCTAAAAGAGCCCTATTATGTAGAACTGACAATGCAGTATCCCTTATTATTTGCCTGCTAATGCCTTTCAAATCCAATTCTATAAATCAGCAAGTAAAGCAGCATTTCTTTTCACTAACCCTCCTGACTGAGTCAACTTGGAGTTAAGCTATTTCTGCTTGCACAACTTATACCCACAGTGAATGAAGGTTAAAAGAAAGTGACCATGACAATTCAATAAACAGCTCTGATGATTCATTAGCCATAGCAGAATCCAGGTCATTCTTATATAGCTCTAGCTATTCCACAATTCAAAGATGAGTAAAATATGAATTACATAAGGTGATCAAAGATGACAACTGCAAGAAGGGTACGCTCTGTTTCATAACATACAACATTTTTTCTGAAGTAGGTAGGCCCTTTCCCAGCTATTATCACACTTAAAAAAATAAAGAGTTAAAGCAGAAGGACAGAAGTCAAGGCTTCTGGAATCTTTTTAGCTCTGCCACCAAAATTTACTCCATCTTCTATCTTACCCAACAGCAAAACACGTGCAGAATTTACTTCCATCAGTGGGAGTTGCCATATCCAGTGAATTCTTAACTGATTATTTGGCAAGTTGCTTTGAGATGCTTAGAAGAGCAAAATACCAAGAAACTCCAGGCACTTATTTCATTGCCAACAGTGAAGAGATGCATTTATAAGCTCATATACCTTCACCACTTCCTTCCTCTACTACATTGAAAACACATTACCACATTATTTTCTTCACCTAATTTTATAAACTAAAAAAGAATCCTTTTCACCTTTACAAAAAGCATTTGAACTACAGAGAAACATTTATCAGATGTTAAAAAGCTGAATTATGTTTAATGAAACACATTCTCAGAAAATAACTACAAAATATTTATCATGCTGCTAGAATGAAGAGATATGAAACTCACCCCAATGGCAAAAGTCAGAAGAAACGACAAAGAGGTTACTAGGATCAGCTAGGTATTTACTGAAGAGTTTTCCAAATTCCTGTTCTTTTGACTCACTCAGTGCTCCGACCAATACAGGAACAATAGTAAACTCATCCTTATGGCTTATAAGCAAAAGAAAAAAGGTTGTAATTTTTTAGGCAACATCTGAGGTTTTTCAGGGCTTGCTAACTGAAACTGCAGAATGTTTAAAAGGATACTATTAAAGTGAAAATATAGTTAATTTAATAATGTCATACTACAATGTTTTCAAACATGAACCCACTTCAATTCTAGAAGACAAATCCCTCCCGAAAATACCATTTATCCTGCAAAGTGAAAATACCAGTCAACCAAAAAAAAAAAAAAAAAACACACACACACAACACAGTGAAGCCAACAATAAAGCAAGAATGAAATTCTCCCCGCAGAGAAGCAGCACAAATGCTATGCAATTTCTCAAGATACATGAAAGCCCTCAAGATAGTGTATAGGAGGCATCTAGATGTGTATTGGCACTCCAGGCAAAATTTTAAATACTGTCTGAGAAAAACTAAACGAAACAGGAAAAAAGTGATAAAATCACCTGCCCTTTTTAAAATCAAATTATTCGTAGCGCTCACCTGAAATCCGTAAACAGAACCTTGATTTCAAAATGAGTATTAATACTCTAAACAAATTTTAAATGCCAGAGGAAACACATATTAATATCTGAACTTCTTTCAGAGTTGGGAAAAATGGATCAGTGAACAAAAAAATCCCAACACTGAATCACAAAACTTAAGAGACCAGGGCAGGACTGCAAGCCACACTTGTTTTTCATCAGTAAACAAACTAACACTTGTATTTATTTATCCAATTAACAATTAAAAAAAGAAAAAAAAACATACAAACAAACAAAAAAAACCCACTCAATACTACCACACCTCAGGTCTTATGAAAAAAGGAGGAGAAAGAATTCAAACTTTTGGAAAGATTCCAGATAGTATGTCTAATATGAAGTCTGTAAGTTGATATTGACATATGAATTCTTTCTTAAGAGGCATTACAATTTCATTTTTCCAGTGTTTGCTCTGCTCACAGTCTCTATAGTTGAGCCAGTAATAATCCTAGCATCTGATTTCTCCTTCTTTCCCCACCTCATAATTTCTATTGAGGGGGTGGAGAAACATAGGAAGGAAATCCTACGTAAGGATATTATTTGCTCCTAGTACATCTTATATGCAGCTCAAGCAATCAATGCATTATATTATACAATGAGTAATTAGCCCTACTACCTTTCCATGGCTTTAGCAGTATAAGGCAAATGCATTTCGATACTATGTTCATCTTCATCTGTCTGTAGAGACATACGCTCAAACATTCCAGTCTTCCACAACTCTCCATAAACTGAAATGAATTTGAGATGAATTTTTAGTAAGAAAAAAAAAAACAAACTATAGTGCATCTTTACTAAAAGAAGTCAATTAAAATGTATTACTTGTCTTGAAAGACTGTGATCATAAACACTTGTTTTAAAATAAATTTATGATTAAATGCATAAGTCATTAAGATACAAATACAATAAATCCACAAAATAAACATGTTTTAAATCACTGCCCTTTTTGGCCACTGATGCTAACATCATCAAAAAAAAATCCATTTACAATACAAAGTTTAAACACACAATAAAAAACGTTAAAATATGTACTAGTCTGCCTGGTCCTTTGATTCTTATTTTCACAATATCACTATACATCACAAAAAATACTGATAAGTTGAGCCATTGCTGAATGCATAAAAACATTTTTACTTTACTGTTTAATTTACTAACAATTGAATTATGAAATTTAAGGATAGGGAAAAGTGATTAAGTAATCTATGCTTATAATGCATCTTTTGTCCTCTCAAATATACCTGGATGTGTGCAAACAGAGGGATCTCTGCACATGCAAGCTCTCCACTGAATGCACAGTTTGAAGTGGGGCAGTGATTTGCTCCCCATTCCAAAGAGTGGTACAAAACTTAAAACATGTCTTCTAAGGAAAAGTCTGCAGGCACGAAGAACTGCTAGGCAGAAAGTCTAAACTAGCTTACTCAGCCTTGCAGTCACGAGAAAATGGCAATACATTTAGGCTAATTAGCCTAACAAAGAAATTTGTTCTTTAGATAAGTCTTGAGAACAGTGCAGTATTCTGACCTGCACACATCTTCACTGTGTCTTTGATTTTAACCTGAAAACCTGGTACTTTTTGGACTAACAGTTAAGTTCTATAGGTACTCTGCCAGTAAAAATGAGTAAGGTGCAATAATGCATCCAAGCAAAGACAGTTTTTTGTTCCTCAAAACTAAAGCACTATCATTTTTTTTTACAGACAGAATACTTCAGAGTCATAGAACAAGGGTGTAACATATTACTCAGATACAACAGAAATTGCAAAAATCCTTCTTAAAAACACACTTTTCAGGAGTCATATACCGTGGGAAAGACATGATGGAAAAGACAAGTGAAAACTGAAAATTATTTACTTGCAGGACCACAACAGTGATTTTAGAGACTGCATACAGTAATGCCTGCAGCCAGCAGGATCTTTTAGAAACTAACTTTTATTGGAGTAAGAATAGTACTACGTTTGTGTGTTACTTCAAGTGATAAAGCTCATCAGCAACAGGGTTCTTGGCACTACAATAATACAGGTAACACCGAAGCCTCAGCATTCCACCAAAGGAGAAAAAGCTTTATTATTCACTTACTCTTCTGGTCAATTCGAAGATCATACAGAGGTGTTCTATAAATGTCCACACTGGAAAGTGCACATCGGGAAAGGGGCACGTGATGGGAAGGCCCAAGAATGAAAATTTTTCGTCTACAATTAAACGCAAAAACCCAAAATGTAGACATCTGTATTTCTACTGAGACACTTGCATTAGAATAATCAAAACTGTTATCATGGAAAAAATATTACAAGATATTTCCCCAAAAGCAACGATAAGACATAGACAGTCTTCAATGGCAAAATACATCCTTTGAGCAAGTACTTGTAGATATTTTTAAATTCTAAACTTAAATTTAAAAGAAAATATTCTATTATTTTAAAAGATGTTGCAGTCGGCAAAATACGTGAAAATTATACTTTAGCCTAGAATAGTTGGCTTTGTATTTCAGAAATGGGCACAGATTATGTTTTTTATACTTGTGCCACTATAAACACATATCCATTTAAAATTATTACAACAGGTAACTTTCACTGACTTCAAATGTCATATACACACAATGGTCACTGTTCTCCACAGCAGAAGAGAATCCTGGTAGCATTCAGCCCATAATCCTGCACTGAGAAACCAATGCAGAATTATGGTCAAATATTTAATACATTTAAACAGACACACACATCCAAAAATAAAATAAACCACACAACCCTGGGAGAAGTAACAAATAACTCAATCTCTTATGACTCAATGTTCCACTGTTTTTATAAATAACAAACATTATCTGGAAACACAACAGCTAACCCCTACCCTTCTAAAAGACAGCTTCTAATAGTTCAAGACTTTTAGAAAAAAATAATTGCTTTATATTTTTCATTTTCAACAACATTACAATAATTTTTCTTTGCAAGATTCAATTTGAACACTTTCATTACGTGGAAATGAAGTAGAAGTGGATAAATAAAAAAAGACAAAAAAATAAAAATGTATTTGAGCACTTCAAGGTGTAAAAATGCAAAAATAACATTAAACTTCTCCAGGTATTGCAATAGGTTCATTTTATACTTTCCATGTGAAAATAAAGAGAGAATGGTTTAATACTTACGTAATATTAGGATCCACTTGTTTATAAGCATGGGCTGCGCAAGATCCACAATACGTATATCCTGCATGGCTGCAAGGCAAATAGTACAGAATGTTAAAGTATTATTTAACGTATTTAATATTATTATTAAATAACAACACATAAATAATATTTATCTGGGCTACTTAGTTCCTAATGAGCTAGAAATAAAGAATGATAACAAGCAAACAAAACACACAAAAAAAATCAACCTGTGACAGAGATGGAGAGCAAGTAATATTCCAGTTAACAGAGGATCAACAAACCAAATTTAATACAAAAAGCATGTTGGATATATTTGTTAAGAAAAGAAGTCTTGATGATTTTTCACTTGAAAGTTTTAAATAGGCTCCGGATCAAAACAACTTTTGTTATTTATAAAAGACACTATACAAGTGCATATTATGAGAACTTCAAGATAACGCTAAGTGTGCAGTCAGAAGACATGAGAATAGTAAGTTGGGAACAAAAAGCTCTTCTAACCACACTCTTGGCAATAAAAGGCTACATGCTACAAGAGAGAAACAGAGAATGGAAATGCTCTGGCAATGAAAAGAATACCTCAGCAACAAAACAGGCGTATGGAAAGCGGTGGAATGCAGCAAAGTAATTTGTACTGTGCAGAACAAGACAGATGATGGAGTCTTTCTTGTCCTGGGTTTGTGTTTCTGCTCTGATCATGCTCCAAAAAGACTCATAATTATTCTGACTACCTGTTTCAAATACCATAATCTTCAGATCCATCCTTTTCAAGAATGTTCAAAACAGGACGAGGGTCATTTTATACCACAAAAAGGATTAATTCCAGAGAGCACTTCCCAGGGACCCAGGCCAAACGGCAGGGAAGAGTTCAGACCAGGCAGCAGCAGTGGCCGTGCCCAGGCTGCCCCGTGTGTGTATATATATGTGTATACACACACACACGCGCATATGCGCACAAGAGTGATTATGACAGATTTGGTCCAATTACTTCCGCACTTTCACTGGTATTACAGAATATGTCAAACATTGTTAGCACTATGTTCCCAAAGTAAAAACAAACAAACCATAATCCCTAGGGTGCTTTTACCTATTCCACATTTGGTGAATGTCCCTTTGCCAAATTTAATTCTACCTTAATAATTCAGAAATAGTCTTAAATGTAACCTTTTTTCCCATTTCTCTTATAAACAAAAACCAAATAAAAAAACCCAAAGCAATAACAGAATAATGCTTTATTATCATTTTTGTTAAGCTTACAGATTTTATATATATGTACATAAAAATACAAATATGCATGTGTTATATAAAAATATGTACGTGTATCTATTAAAAATGTGTGTAATATACATGTTGTGTTACAGATGCACTGAATGATGTGTCAATTTTAGATTATCATTCTAATCTCTTACCTGGCTTACATGCACAAATGAATGTTACGTCTTCAAACTATCTGTAAAAGGAAACTGATTATATACAAAAAAATGTGCGCAGATTTTTGCCATTTCCACAGAGCATTCAAAATCCTTGAAAAATAGCTGACATTCTTTTCACCTAAAGGCAAGCTTACACCAGACTCCAGAATCTCTCATAATAAATAAGCATTTAACATTTCAAATATTTAATTTAATAAAAATAAACTTCAAACTTACGGTGCAATAATGGCTCTAGCAGGTCTTTTTGTGGATTGTACTTGAGAAAGCCAACCTTCTAGCTGTGCATTCAGCTGGGGTCCTATGAAAAGACAAGGGAATACTGAAGCCATGGCAGAATTTAGCGTACCTGAGAAATCAACAGATAAAGTCCAGCAGATTTAAAACTATCATAAATGTGAAAGCTTGTGTTTCAATATCAAAAAAATAGACTCTAAAAACAATGCACTTGCAAAACACAAGGTTACCCTAAGAGTTTCAAACTCCTAGTCCCTTAAGATCATTTATTACCCACCCATGCAAACAGATTCTTCCATTCCAAGGGCGTCCAATATGGAAAGATGATAAAATAAAAAGACCTTACATGCTGAGATGATGGCTAAAAGCTCTAATACTTAGTCCTTCATTATCTGTAAGAGCAAAACACAACGCATATTGAAGACAAGAAAACTGCAACTAAAGAGGAAGCAGCCAGAATTGCGAAGGGGGAAAAACGCTTATAGTGATTCCAGAGCAACGTTTGGTCAAATCAAGTACATAACATTACAAAAATGTTTAACTTTGGTGTTCAATCTCATGTTTAAAAGACTTGTTTTTTTCTCCTAAATCCTGCGCATCAGCAAATGGCAAATATTCTCGAATAAATTAGCTGACAGGTACTAAAAATGCCTTCTGGAAAAAGCAATGCTTAAAAACAAACAAACAAAAACCAACAAACAACACATTCTGGTATTTTTCATTACAAACAAGATTCCTGGTGTCACGCTATTCCTGAAGGAGCAAATTTGGCATATATAGCACAACACCTTTTTATGAAAGAAGGCAAAAGAATCCCAAATATGCACCCCATATACAATTCTGCACTGCTGCTTCTGACACTTGAAAAAATAACAAGCAGCAGAGACATGTAATAGAGAAAAGGATAATGGTATCCTAGAAAATGGAGGCTTTGGAGAAGTTATGTAGCATAAATAGATCTGTTTTCATCCTTCTTCTAAGCTACTAGGGGACTAAAAAAACAGTACCCTATAAAAAAAACAAAACTTTTTTTTTGGTTAAATCTGCATTTAAAAATGAAGAGGCAGAAATCATTCTGGAAACAAACAAAAATCCCAAAAACTAACTTCCTAATTCTCCCCAAATATGTAAAATGATAAAGAACTTCCTGAAACAAGTTCTTTAAAATGGAATATTTTTTCAAATAGTTACTAACCTGACATTTATTTAAAAAAAAAGAATGATTTATACAAAATGTGACCCATCTTACCCCTTTTCCCCAGAAGGGCACCCAGTGACAACACAACAGTTGTCACACCAAAGCCTTTAGAGCAGACAGACCTGGAAATCTTCCCAAACAAGGCCCAGTCTTTCCCTTTCCTCTGCCCTTTCTTTTATTTCTGGCTAAGACTATGGTGAGCAAATCAGATAACCTGCTGTGCAATTTAAACATAAAGCTCAGAATTGTTGGCAACTTCCTAAAAGCTTGGATGACTGCTCATAATTGGCCAAGACTTCTGATCTCACAGTACAGCAGAAGAGTAAGATGCCCAAGTTCACTCGGCCTTCTAGTGCGGACACAGAGTAACAAACCCTCAGTTCTCAGAGGCAGAGAAATAAAGTACGAAATCAATATAACCCACAGGATGACACTTCGGCAGCATTTATATATGGACAAGCTATCAAATTTGCATTCAATTTTCTCCCTTTAATGTGACTCTGAGATGGTTTTTTCAGATCATTAACTCTGATCTAGTTTAAGTGTCCATACCAGACGATATTTTATTAAAATAGTGCAAAAAAAGTATGTCGTCAAACACTTCTCTCTGTCCAAAGGATTAAATGGAGAATATAACATATCCTGCTGATCTTTCAGCTAAAGGGAACGGGGAAACAAACCAAAACAGAAAAAAAATGACACCTCAGAAGAATTCAAAACAACTTTCCCCTTGCCATTCTTACAAATACTTAATATGAATATTTTAAATTTGCAATTTTCATGTTACCAAATTACCTAGGTACACAAGGCAACACCTAATACCACTTTTAGATCAGGAGGACCTCTGAGAGGTGGTTCTTCCAAATTATTAAACACGACAATGCTTGAGACTAGAGTCAGAATATATGAATGGGCTATACAAAATACAAACAAATCCAGATATGGTTTGGATACTCATCTCAGAGTTTCATATGATAGAGCATAGCTTCTCCATGAGCAGTCCTCCAAGCAATATTTTTCCAGTTTTACTCAAACATATGAATAGAGATTTGTGCAAGCATTGCTTAGATAACTGGGGTTAACCTGTCTCTAGGTAAACAAGCATGAACATGGAATAGCACTGCCTATCCTGGTACTGCGAGGGAAAAAGCCTGAGAGGTTCCTGCTCCTTTAGCAGTGTTGGGAGCACCCAACTTGAGAGCTTCCAGAATGAGCAGATTTTTAAAATTCTTAAGGCTAACCTGGAGAGAAAGCTCCAGGGAGGCATCTACTATGAAGAGTCAATACACTTTAGAGGTAATAATGTAAGATCAGTCCTTTAACCAGATAAAGATAGATCAGCAAAACATGATGTTCACTGAGGCACATAATATCACACCCATAATTAAATCCTATGAAAGGCATAGGTATCAGCATGAAAATAAGAATGCAGACACTACTATCTGCGGACATTTCACAAGTTTTTTTTATTTAGGAACTGGCAGTAGTCACACTAAGTTTAAAAACAACTTCAAGCTGAAACCAAGCTTCTATCAGACAGGTTTCTGGATTCATCTATAGGCAGAATTTGTTCAAGTATCTTATCTAAAGAGAGATTCTTTGTTTTTGTTTTGTCAACATTACCTTAACTAGTTAAAAGCCTATACCATGAACGAGCACATTATTTCCAGATAAGGAGAAACTAGAATATTTAATTCCAACTTCAAGCAAACTCCAATCCAAAATGTGACAAAGGACTAAGCAGTTGTCTTTCTCATTTAAAAACACAGAAAATACATTTTTTTTTAAAGTGCACAGGTCCCACTTAATAAATCTTTGTTTCTAACTGCAATAAAGGCAAAATCTTTGAGTAAAGGACAGGTGATACCTATGCAAAGACTAGGATTTGTCAGAAATAGGAAATGATTTTTGAAGATGCATGCTGATGAGCACATTCCCTGCTGCTACTATATATGAGTCTTCCACCACCAAAAACTGGATGAAAGGAAGAAACGAAGAAGTCAGTTTATAAGGCAGAAATTTGCTCAAGCAAATTATGGGATTAAAATAAATAAATAAAGGATACAAATAAGTATCACACTGATGCTCCATGAACTCCTGTTTCACATATTCCAAGATGAGCATAAAAGAGCAAGCAATGAGGGAGAGAAAATAAAACTGAAGCCACAACAGAAGGACTGATTCTGCTTTGGAGGCAGTCCCCACTTGCATGTCTCGACCTTCTTACATTTCACTAGCTCTCCAATTTCCCTCAGTGGAAGTTATTAGGAAATAAATAATCAAACTGTATCCCCATTCATTAAGAATATGGAGCCATATTCACATAAGTGGCCTTATAAAACATCTTCCTAGTTAGGTCAGAGACCCAAGCAAATGACCACCTGTTTAGCAGTTCCAGGAAAATAAGTGTTTAACATCACAACCAAAATTATGTGCTAAATGCAATCTGAACTTGCCAAAGCATTCACTAGGCAACACCCCCCAGACTATTCTAATAATACCAGGAAAATGCCACATGTTAAGTGCTTTTTAAAATTGACTCCTAGCAAAACTGAGTTTATGTTATGCACTTGGATAATGCTGATTCAGGCAGTACTTCAGTAATTCAGGAAGAAATAACAGCCTGGAAATTGTATTTTAAATTATTTTGATATACTTTTGAATAATACAATGTTACAGCTGCATACTACTATCTTCCATGGTTAGTTTGCAAAAGATCCAAAGACATATGCATCTTCCACATAAAATTTCTACACTGCAGCCTGCCTCTTCCCCCAGAAACTGTGGGGAGAGAAACAAAATTTAGTATTTAACCTTGCAAAGCACATTCTTCATAGATTTGCAAGGCGATACAAAGGTTTGCTTATAGATTGTAAATTAAGAACTTATATTTTATGAGTTGTATTTGAAAGCTCCAGCTTATGCCATATCAGGACTTTGTTATCAGTACATTAGTTATCCCATTCGTGCACAAAGCTTCTGTCATCCACACCGCTCGGCTCCAGTGACCCTCCTGCACTTCTAACATTTTTTCTGCATCCACTTGCCCAAGACCATCTGCAACAACACACTGATGCTGCTGGCTCACTGCTTTTGCATTATGTTTACATATACTGCCGAGTGAGCCTCACCGAGTTACTGAGTTATTTAGAGATTGTGCCAGGGTTTTTTTCATTATGTTTACATATACTGCGGAGTGAGCCTCACCGAGTTACTCGGTGAGTTATTTAGAGATTGTGCCAGGGTTCTCGGCACAGCCCAGTCCAGCACTTCCGCAGTCCTGTTTTGTGGAAGAAGAACTGTCTTTCTGAACCACCTCCTTGTGTCACCACACAGAATCCAACAACCACACAGTCATCTACCCTTCCATGCACTTCAGCTACTGCAAAGACTCGCACCACTACAGGGAAGTGGTTTTAAGGTAGGATGCAGCAGCTCTGAGTGTGAAGGAAAGACACCCCAGCCGCAGTGTTGGTGCCGCAGAAGGCAACAGAGGTGGTGGACAGACAACGGATCCTGAAGAAGAGAGGACCATGACTGGTGCACATGCTTTCCCCAGTGCTGATGGGAGCACCAGCTCAGGACAACAGGCACACGAGTGCTGACGTTACATCAGTATTTACGACAAATGGATCCCTTTTTATCACTCTGCAGGGCCCCCAAGCTGCTGAACGTGCAAGTGAGAAAAGCTGTGCCAGCTCAGACCCCCATCGCTTTGGGGTGCTGAAGCCGGGGTTCCAGAGGGCCATAAACCAACAGTGGGCCTCGGCTAAATAAATCGGTATTTGAAGCAGAAGCAGTAAAAAACATTAATACAGGTTGTACTGAGAGGTTCCCAAGGAGTAGAGGTGCAAGTCTTCTAAAAGAGCAGCTGCCTTGGAGAGAAAAATGATTTCTGAAGTGATTCATCTGCCTATTCATTTATTTTCTGTTCAACAAAAGTTCCTCTGAGTAGCACCCTTTGCAACTGCCCAAGACATCAGTGCTCAGACCTCAGACAGCTGGAAAGACAAGTTCTGAACATCCCTGCACATTTCTTGCCCAAACAAGCAAGAAGAAGCTTTAATCCTTACAAATACTATCATCAAGATTTCTGCACCTATGCACTTTGAGGTTTTTACTCCTAAGCCACAACGGCAGGAGAGAAATGCTGTACAGGAGAGCACCAGAAGTTTAAGCTCTCTTCAAACATTTATGTGGAGACAGACCATGTACTTGGCTCATCATACAAAACACTGCTTGGTAGAGAGTAAAAGACCCATGGCATTTCAAATCAACCCAGCGGTTACCACGTCATGCACAACTGCATGAATAAGGTTGCAGAAATGTAGGTTCTCGTTCAGAGAACAGGCACTAGACCACAAAGTCTGGGTCAGCGATAACAGGGAAACAAGCCCTACCCAATATAATGATGAACTTGGTCAGCAGGGCAAGTTTCAGATCACAGTGTTGTTATTTATGTACCCTTCTTGACTTGCCTTTGCTGATATTGCTTGGAAGAGCTTTCTAGAAATCTTTGTGTTTTGACTGTATTGGCATTTCACTGGTTGGGGAAAAGCTGAGGCAAGTTCTTATTAAAGAGCATGATAGTATTCAATTAGCTCTTGCAGGAGTCAAGCAAGACAGGTCAGCTGCCAGTAAATAAAGCATGTAAAGTTCCTTGACATGTGACATCTCGCTTGTCATGGCATGCTATGCACAGAGCAAGGAAAAAGGTAGGCTGATGCACATCTGCCATTGACCTTTCATTTCAGGAATGCATGGATTGCCTCCCAGAAGAGCTGTCTGATGCTTACAAAATCTAGTAGCATGAAGGAGGAAACAGAGACAGTTACCACATCCTATCCTGCAAATAGCCCACATTCAGTATAATGCCCTGCGTGCCATTCATTTTTCAAGTGCTCCTTTTGTATCTAAGTGCATGGCTAGCTCGAGTTCAAAACTATGGAAAATTATGCTATTTTTGGTACAGGTTGCCCCTACTCTTCCCATTCACCCTGATAGTCAACATATCTCAAGAGGCCTATATGGCTGAATTGATGCATCAGGAGTGGAACTTTCTGCCAAAAAATAAACCAAAGAGTGATATTTTTCACCACTGAAGATGAGATCCTTTTAAAAATATTATAGAGGACAGCAGTGCAGCAGGTTGATACACTTGTCTACACAACATGCCTTTCTCTCTCTTTGCAAGCATAGGTAGCAGCAATCACACATCAGGTTGCTAGCCCATAGGAGCATGATACCACATTCCGATTTTAACCATTTTAGAATGGACATATGGATCAAGGTTGAGTAAAAATATAATAATGTCGTTAACACGGCAGGCTACTATCAACAACAGTCATAACACCACTGCAGTCTGGAAGCTCAGCTGGAGAGATTTATATCTTCAGTGTGACTGCTAAGGAGCAACTTTTTTTCTAAGCCTCTGCTTGAACATAGCCCATTGCTGCAAGACAGATGCGCCACACATTCGTGGCTGAAGGCTACTAACAAGCTACACATGCTGATGAAGAGCAGACAGGAAACTCTTCACACCAAGAATTCTAGAATAGAGCTTATGTAAAATTTGATTGAGATAACCATGACACTGAGCTCAACTGCAGACACTTGCTAAAGAACTTGTTTCTTCAAGTTTTCTTTACAACAACGTATGGTGGATAAAGAATGTCGGAAGTTAAATGGCTACCATGACCCCTATAAAGCCTTTTTTCTTTTTAACCTTCTTAGTTTCATCAAGTAGGTAGGAACTACTACTTATACTTCCCAGCCTGGAGCCTCCCTTTCTGCTAAGGACCAAGCTGATTACCTATGGGTCGAGAAGCCATTCTCGCACCTAGAGACGCTTGTGTGTCTCTGCACAGCCGGGCGCACCAGCTCTGCAGGACTTATTGGTGTCACACAAGCAGGTGATTTCCACGCACTGGAACTAGTTTTCAAGGCAGAACCTAAGCTGGAGAAAATCGGGCAGGAGCCAGGGAAGCTGCAGAGGCCCTGCTCTCAGCAAACGCAACAGCTCTCTACAGAGCTTAGCAGTCTTAGTAAACACAAGGAACACACATCTTCAAACCCCTACACATACACTGCATTCACATTGCTTTGCATTCTGGAGCTGTTCTTCATCTGCTGCTCCTGCAGCTTCCAGGGTCCCCTCCTCAACTGACTTCAGCCCTTCTTCCCCAAGGTTGACTTCTGCTGTCAGGCCTGGCAGATGTTACATTTCTCAAGCACAGCAATGGGTGCTCTGCTGCTACAGTTAAAAGCACCTGACACAGGGTCCCATGCATCATTTCTGATATTTTGTTATCTTCCCCTCAAATGCTTGACACCTCTGCCATGGAATTGAGGTCATTCTCAGGCAGTCTCTTTAAGACGCTTTCAGAGGAAGTCATTTTGAACATTTCCTTTAAAAACAAACAAAAACAAACAAACAAAACCTTCCTCATGTCCTCTTGGACAGTTAGCAAATACAAGTGCAGCCATAACTCCTGTAGAAACTAAATGGTAGCGGGGACGAGAGCTTCCAGGACACCTGTTTGCCCTCTGTACCCAAACTTAGCTCCATAGAAATAGAGCAGTTTTCAGGAAATAGGAAGCTTAAATGCTAGCCAGTTATATATAACCTAGCAAATCACTCCCTGTCCCAAATGGAAAGCATGAAGAGAGTAGGTAGGAGGACCTGGCAACACAA